GAGCAGGGACAAAAACAGCCAGCCACTATGATTGTTGGATGAGCAGGAACAAAAACAACCAGCTACTAAGATTGTTGAATGAGCAGGGACAAAAACAGCCAGGGAAATGATTGAAACCTGGGAAATGGGCCCCTCATCAGTCAACAGGAGCATACCACCAGCGTCTCACCGACTAAGAAAGTGAGGGCTGAGCAGCACAAGCAAATGACAGCCAACGATTTAAAAGCAGCCATCAACACACCCCAATCAACATCTGAAAAGCCACATACAACAAGGAATTATAAATACAACACACAGAACAGCACACTCTCTGCTAGAGAGAAGTTCCCTGAAGATGGGCTCCAGCACGAGTCCAAAAGCTCGGAAGACACAACGTGACCGACCCAGATTGGATCCTGTAACATGATCCTGGGACGCGTAGATTCGCCTCCATTCGGAAGGAAGTCAGATCCATCCGAATATCCTTCCCCAGCGATCCATCAGTGGATCAGGATTGGCTCCCTATTCAGACAACCCTGCAGGGAGGGAAACTGGCAGCCTTCCTCCCTCAACCCCTTGCTTGGATTCTCTTTCACACATGCAGGCAGGGATACTGGTCAAATTAAGGACGTTTGTCCCTGTTTTAAGCAGGAAAAACAGAGGATACCTCGGGCAGCCGTGGAATCTGGATGAGACGCTTGAAATACAGCATGTCCGATGCCCTTTTGAAAAAGTTCTTCAGGCTGCAAAGGGAAAACAGCAGGAAAATATCAAAGGGGGGGGGATCTCTTCCCAAGAAACCGACAATCCTTACTACTTGGTGCAGTTAAGTATTTTATTTACAACCCTCTGTTCTTCCTGAAGCAACAGAGCAGAAAGTAAATTGAAAAAATACAAGATTCAAGCACAGTTAGCGACTGTTGATACTATTCTTACTGCTGTTCTTTAGAGGTTAACTTAACTCACAAATCTATCCTGATTGTAATCAACACTCATAATCTCTCCTCCAATCCCATCTATAAACTGATTTAATCCAGAGCGCAGCATTGAATAAAACCAGCCAAGTTTCTAGGCCTCATGATCTCAGAAATCTGATCAGGTAAGCAGTTCCTGGCTATTCTTTTATGCTGCTGTGCATGTTTTCTTTTTTCTTTTTTAAAAGTACAACAGGGCATTTCTTTCAAGATTGGAGTCTTAGGGGAGCCAATTCGCACAATATTCTTGCAATATATTTGTTTGTTTTTTTAAATCAGAACGGCCCTGGCACGATTTGATTACATGCTAGGGAATACCTAACGCAACACTTTGGAGGTTCTGGTGTTCACAACACACACACACACACACACAGAGCCACAAATGGCACGCCGAATACCGTTACCTGCGAAACTGTTCGTGGAACCTGTCACGATGGCCTTGCAACGTATCGGCTGGCAAACCTGGACAAGCAAGAAGGAGAGGAATGAATGAAGTGCCAGAATCTTCACAGGGTCATTTTTAATCAGAGAAAACGAAAGAAAGAAAAGAAAAAAAGAAAAAGCAAGCTACTCTTTTTGCAAATAAGCCCTCCAGGCCGATTTTAAAAAACTGGGTTTCGGGGCCTGCGACATCCTCAAAAGGAAAACCGATGCAGAAAACCCGTTTTCAAGTCCCAAAGCTGCTTTTGTTTTTGCAGGAGGCAACTGGACTTCCTTGTTTTATCTCTTTGGAAGACGTTTCACTTCTCATCCAAGAAGCTTCTTCGGCTCTGACTTGGATGGTGGGCGAATGGAAGGGATTATATTCCTTGCGGACAAAGCTGGTCATTCGCATCCTTTGAGAAAGTCCTTGAAGCGCTTGGGAGGTTTATCAGGGTCCTCGGGGTCACCTGAGTGGTGCAAACGGCTCCTGTCGTCTGCCATTTTTCTCCTCTGGAAATCCATTCCTACTCCCACCCCGTTCCAAGGGTGTTCATCCCAAATTGCATAGCTAAAAGTCTGGAGAGATTCTCAGTCTTCCAGGCCGTGGTTGTCCCAAAGGGGCTTTTCCCAGTTACTTCCCGAAAAAGCCCCTTTGGGAGAACCATGGCCTGGATGGCTGAGAATCTTTCTGGACTGTTTTCAAGCTACCTCCCCACCCTCCTCTCTCTCTCTCTCTCTCTCTCTCTGTCCATTAGCAGCATTTCAGGAGGCATCTAGAGAAAACGGGGGATCCGAGCAAATCCCCTCCAGCTTAAAAGCAAATCCTTTGAAAGGATGCATCAGTTTAAATCCTGCTCTGGCTCCGCAGAAGAGCTGCAAGCAGTTGAGTCAAAAGGAGCAGGAATGCCACACACCCCACAACCCCCCAAGGGGTCTCTGGCTGGCACTGCCAGGGTTGTTTTTCAAAAGGCGCCAGTGTTGTATTTGCAGGCCACCATTCAAATCCGGCCATGCAACCTTGTTCTTTGCAAACTTCCCTGCCTTCGGGGCACTCTTCCCACCCAGCCGAGTCAGCCAGCAATCTCTGCTCGCTCTGCAAAGGTTCCTGACACACACACACACACACACACACACACACACACACACACACACACACCCCAGATGCACAGAGGAGAAGCTTCAACTCCTAGCCGAGCGTCTTCTCCAACTTATCGTCGCTTCTCCTTTTGCATCGAGCAATCTGCAAAAACAGGCCGATTTTTGCTCAATCTGTGGCAAAAATGAACCGGGCACCCCTGGGAGCGTTAAATCTTTGGAAGCCTCAAATCCCAGCAGATCCCTTCCAGTTTGCTAATCAATTCAGATCTATTTCCACGTGACCAAGTGCTGAGTGAGGAGAGAGGCAGAGATGCAGGATAGCAGCAGAAAAGATTGTCAGAACATGTCTTGAACAATTGCAAACCGTTGCGCTTAATTACAGCTAAGTTTCCCCAGATACTTTGGAATCGCTATTCCAGTGTTTGTCAACCCTAGGGATTTTAAGATGGGTGGACCTCAACTCCCAGAATTCCCAGTCAGCATGCCAGGAGATGAAATCCACCCATCTTTGAGTTCCAAAGTTGGACAAGCACTGGTTTATTCTTAAAGTTGCAACGTTGGACAAGCACCGGTTTATTCTCTCTAGCTAGAGAGACCAAACTTCTGTTTCTCCTGCTTAGAACCCAAAACTTTTTGATCCCAGACAGATCCCGGATGCGAGAGCTGTTCCCCCTTGCAGCCGGTGCCAGAACTTGGATGCACGGAAGACCCACTTACACGAATGGAGGTTGAACATCAGCTTCACGGTGTAATGGTACAGGTGGCTGCAATCCTGGATCACCTGTATGAGAGGGGCCAACCGGCACTGAACGGCTGACATTTGGGAGATGGCCATGGAGGTGTTGAGTTGCCGGAAGACTATAAGCAGAGGGAGAAAGAGAAAGAAGTCACCAATAACTCAGAGCGTCGAACATCTAGAATACTCCTTCCTTGTCCTATTTTCCCACAACAACAACCCTGTGAGGTACGTTGGGCTAAGAGAGCAAGACTGGCCCAAGGTCTTTTTTGCAACCTGTACAACGTTGCAGGTTTAATCTTCTCTCCTGGCCTTCTCCAAACTCATTTTAAATTAAGCCACCTTTTCATTTTTGGAGGTAAAATTTCCCCAACTGGGAGATGGCCAATGGTGCAGCTGAGAGTTTGCAGACAGATTTGTGGATCTGCAGGATTTAAAAATTCCAGGTTCCAGAACCACAATAGAAGATCATTTAATTAATTCAAGCATTGAACAGTTTCCCTATTGCTAAGAAACGCTCTTCGCTTACTTAGGCTGCAACGTGGTTGACTTAAGCGAGATGTTGCCCTGGTTATAACAGGTTGGTCATTAAGTTGGAACATATATTTCTGTGCCCTCAGGGAGGCCAGACTGAGGTCAGGTGACACCCCACAAGTTGGCAACGAAAAAGGAGCACCGCTCGACGTCAAACCTCGGCGTTATCTGATGCGCCACACAAAGGAAGCTCAGAAAAAGCAGGACGGAGAGAAGGTGACTCACCAAAGTCAACAGTGGCTCCGTTTCTTCCCAAAGGATGTTGGCTTTGCGGAGCAGAAATGCAAAATTCGGGATTGCATTTCCCAAGAGCTTTGCAGATGCAAACTCATGGGGTAGAAAATGCTTGTGGGAATTTAAAAAAACAAACAAACCAAACACCAATGTCTCCATTCTGACGACCTGCAGGATTTACATGGGTTGCAAACGTTTTGCACCCTTGCACAACAGGTTCTGTTTGTTTTAGGCTTGCATATTTTATTTGTTTAATACTTTGGGGAGGGCCATGCTAGGTGATTACGGAGCAAGCCGATAAATTATTGCAAACGGCCTGCAAAACCACGTTAACCTTAACAGAAAAAACCACCAGCTTGGGGTTTTTGCTTCTTTTTTTTTTTTGGCTTTTTTTGTACATTGTGCATTCAGTGTTGATTCAAGCAGGGGGCGATTGTGAACGGCAAGTGTTGCTTGCCAACTTCTGCAGACAACGCTTCTGTTCAGCCCATTTTTTTTTTTTAAAAAAGAAAACTTGGCAACCTCACGGGCGTCTCCGCTTGGGCTGAAAAATGGCACCAAGAGGAGAGAGAGAGAGAGAGAGAAAAAAAAGAAAGAAAATGAAAGGACAGAGAGAGCATGGAAGCTCAGCGCAGTTTACCTGATTCTGCTAATTTGAGTTCGCAATCCATGTAGTCAAACATCTCAACGGTGAGCTGGAAGCTGCAGAGAATTGTTAAATCAAGCGCAGAAGAGCAACGATTTCAATTTCTCCTCCCATATAAAGGGGCCAGGCCTCCGACGATTAGCAAGGAATGGGAATTAGCAAGAAATGTTCCTTATAAAGTTTTCCATCCCTGGAATTATTCCTTTGCTGGATCCAATCCAAGCTACCTTGGAGCAACGCTAGGATAGGAAGGGGTTTGGTCTCTTCCCCTACCCAAGAAACCCCCTTCCCCACTTTCTTGCCTGCAAAAAGTCAACCCCAAATTTAATCCAGAAAACGCTGTTTCCCAGCCATCGGAATTCGGATCCAGAAGGAGGAATTAAATATCACAACGACAAAGCCAAGGACTTTTGGTGGGTCTCCTCCTCCATTTCACTCCTGGGATGCCACCTTGGCATCGGCGACCCAAAGCAGCTGTGTTAAGCTTTCTGAAAAATGCCAGGGGCTCCTCGCGATGGGAGACCCAACTTACATGTTATTCACATCTGTTCCGGCAGCTTTTTCTAGCACCTCGTCGGTGACTTCAAGCCCAGGAGGGAATTGAGGATGCTACAGAGAGAAATGAAGCAAAAATTAAGCCATTGCCACCTGGTGGAATACCCTCCTTGGGACGCAGCGGCTCAGGGACTAAGATGCTGAGCTTGTCTGTCAGAAAGGTTGGCAGTTCAGCGGTTCAAATCCCTAGCACTGCCTCACGGAGGGAGCTCCCGTTGCTCGTCCCAGCTTCTGCCAACCTAGCAGTTCGAAAGCAGGTAAAAAATGCAAGTAGAAAAATAGGGACCATTATTTTGGTGGGAAGGGAACAGCGTTCCGTGCGCCTTCGAAGGCGCTTAGTCTTGCCGGCCCCATGACCACGGAGACGTCTTCGGACAGCGCTGGCTCTTCTTCGGCTTTGTGACGGAGAGGAGCAGCGCCCCCTCGAGCCGGAAACGACTAGCACGCAAGTGCGAGGGGAACTTTTGCCTTTATCTATCATATCCTGCTGCTTGCAAACCTTGTGGGCTTTGTGGAAAAAGCTGCCAAAAGTAGCCCTCAACTTACATTTAGTGACTGTTCAAAGTTCAAAGTTACAACAGCACTGGAAAAAGCGACACGGCCATTTTTCACACTTTATGACCATTGCAGTATCCCTGGGATCAAAATTCCGGCGCTTGGCAACTGGTATGTACTTATGACAGTTGCAGTGCCATGAGAAAGCCAGATTCATTTAATAACCCTTGTTGCTAACTTAACCAATGCAGTGATTCACTTAAGAAACGCGGCAATGCAAAGTCGTAAAATGGGGCAAAATTCACTTAACGACTGTCTTGCTCAGCCACGGAAATGTTGGGCTCAACTGTGGTTGCAAGATGAGGATTGCCTGTATAAGAGGGAACCGTATCTCACTTGCTTTTAAGCCCAGGCTGCAAAACTCGGTCTAACTTTACTGGGAGGACAACAGGATCGCTCGGAAGACGGTTACCTTGACGTGGAAGGAGATTTTGATCAGCAAAAGCTTGGTGTAAATATTCACCAACTGGCCGTAACGGTCGTGCAGGTGGCCCTGGAAAAGGAAAACCACAAATGCGTCTGGTTCCAAAAATACTTCTGGTGAGAAGAACTCTATTCCCATACGGGGTTTCAATTCCTGGGCTGCGCTGAAGGAAGGCCTCGTTTTTTTTCTCCTACTCCAGACTGACCAGGACGCGGAGTATCGCAACTCTGCAACTTCAAGCTCTGCGGGCTCCCACCTCCCAGAATTCCCCCAGCCTCGCTCTCTAGTTTGGCAAAGGTCTGAGCTTAAAGCCTCCTGAACCGATTTAACATCTAAGAGGCGGAAGAGATCTGGAACTCACCCAAAGATCTCCCGTTTCTCGAATGTTACTTCGATACCGCTGACAGTCCTGGAGAACCTAGAAAAATCAACAGGTTGTTGGGAAAAAAAGAAGAAAAAAAAACCCCACGGAGAACCCAGAATCGGATTTCTCAAAAATGTAAAATATGCCATTTTAGAATGAAAAGCAACGTGAGTCTCTGATTCGTAAGTTAAAAGGGAGAAGATGAAGGAATTCTGGTTATCAGATCAAGGCTACGCTTCTCCCAGATGCGATGTAGGGCCATAAGGAAGGCTGAGCGCCAAAGAATGGGGGCCTTTGAACTCTGGGGCTGGAAAAGGCTTCTGCAAGTCCCTTGGACTGCAAGGCCATCCACCTGGTCCATCCCAGATGAGATCAATCCTGACTGCTCTTTGGAAGACCCTGAAGATGAAGCTCAAAGACTTTGGTCACCTCATGAGAAGGAAGGAAGGACTCCCTGGAGAAGAGCCGAATGCTGGGAAGGATGGAAGGCAGAAGAAGAAGAAGAAGGGGACAGCAGAGGAGGAGGAGGAGGCCGGACGGAGTCCCTGAAGCAGCCGGCGTGAGCTTCAATGGACTCCGGAGGATGGTAGAGGACAGGAAGGCCTGGAGGAACGTGGTCCATGGGGTGGCGATGGGTCGGACACAACAACAACAAGAAGGAACTTACGTTTGGGTGACCATCTCGGAGGACTTTGTGGAGAACATGGCAGAACTTCCAGCTCAGGATGGCACTGCTGGGCAGGGGAAGGCCAATGGCGTACGACCAGAAAGTAAACGCGCCTTTCTCGTGATGAGTCCCTAGAATAATCCCTTCGCACAAGTTAAGGTTCATATTAAATTTGGGGGACGCGCACAGCCCTTATTGTGCGAAGATCAACAATCGGAGAGAATCCCAGAAACAATTTGGTGAAGAAATGCTCCTTATCAGGAAATCGCGCTGGCGGCTGAAACTTCCATTTGAATGTTTTCTTCAGGACGTCTATTTACTTTCTAAACCCTGTTTGCATTTCCTGTATAGTTTACCTTACACCTGGAGGCCCCGTTTCTCTGTCTGCCGGCCAGCAAAACGGACGAAGGAAATTCAAAAGGCTGCCGGATTATAAGGGGAGGTGAATGATGCAGTAGGGAGGGAGGGCGTAAAACGTGAACCTGGACAGCGACAGGTAGATGAGACAGAGAGAAGAGATAGAGATAGATAGAAAGATGATAGATGAGACATTGATTGATGTCCATCCAGGGGCAGCTTGCAGACAGACAAACAGAGAGATAATAGGTGGATACAGATAGTTGATAGATGGAGAGAGAGAGAAGGGGAGAGAATGGACAGAAGGACAGATGGATGGAGAAAGATGGATGGATAGGTAAGTATGTACGCTGATGGAGAGAGAGATGGGCAGAGAAACAAAATGGATGGACAAACGGATAGATGGACAAATGGGATGGATGGATGGATGGGTAGATGGAGATAGATAGATAGATAGATAGATAGATAGATAGATAGATAGATGCATAGATAGATAGATAGATAGATAGATAGATAGATAGATAGATAGATGCATAGATAGATGCATAGATAGATAGATAGATAGATAGATAGATAGATAGATAGATAGATA